GATTTGTGAGACTTTTGACAACAACATACACATCCCGTATAGGCAAGAAAAATAAAAAAAGATGTATTTTTTGCAATGTGCTCTAAGCTGCATTTTGTGTATTCAAGTTGCTAAATATATGTAAATAATAAACAATAAATGTTTTAATATTATTATTATGTTACTTAAAAATTTGTTGGTTATTACAAGCAAATTTTACTAACCGAAACCAGCCCATCCTCACCAGAAAAACAGCCACATGGGTCGATTATGCAGCAGCTTATTACGACCCTTTTTTTTTGTTAGGCTGCAACCTCTAGTGACCGTATGACGGAGGCAAAGGAAGAATTAATTTCAGCCATATATTTCCCAGCTCTATACATTTATTTAAACAAAATGGTTTGACGGTATTACCTTAAAAAGTACTAAAAAAAATTATTTTGTTTGTTTTACATGTAAAGCAGATTTACATGCATCACATGCATGTATTTTCTGTTCTAAATCAGATTGATGAAGGCATCATGGGGAACATGTCTGTGTAACAGACCTTTTTAGAATCTGTTTACAATTTAGATCACAGGATGAGAGCTTTGTGTCATTAATTATGCTTTAATTAGGCTATGCAGAGTTACGCTTTCTGAATCATAGTTACCACAGGCATGGATTTAACATTTAAAAGCAAGAATATTGTTGTCCAGCACACTGAGTCTACATCTGGGGTACTTGGAATGTGACGTGTCCAGGTGTGTTTTATTGTACTTCCACTGACCAGCGTGGCATGGAGTCCCAGTCATAAGGGATGTTGAAGAATTCAGTGAAGTAGTAAGTCCCGCAGATCAGAGGCAGCTGGATACAGAAATGGTTGAACAGCAGCATCTTGAAACATCTCCACTGCTTCTCCCAGGTCTCTGGTTTGTCCTGCACATGCCACAAACACAGCCATACACAGAGAGAGAAAGTCTATTAAAAGGAAGGTCATCTTAGATTTTGAAAATGAAATGTTAACATCCAGAAACCCACACAAACCTGTTGGATCTTGTATTTTTGCATGAAGGGCATGAACTGGAAGAGAAAACCAGGCAGGCAGAACAGGAAATAGATGAGCTCATGGACGATTAGCGACCCCCAGGTGGCAATTTGGAACTTGGTGTAGTTGTCCATCATGTAGCCCCAGGCGTATTTCAGGGAGGGCTGGAAGGGGTTTTCTGGCAGCGCTGCATCTACGTACTCCACCGCCAGATAGGCAGAGCTCAAGATGTCTGCTGTGCCGTTCACCGCCATGATGGATGACTGCAGGTCTGGAGAGAAGACTGGAAAACAGGAACCCCATGGTGGTGGTTACAGGTGTAACTCTCAGACAGGACGTATGACTTAAGTCACTACAGCTTCAGGTGGACAGCTAATATTCTCAGTCATGTTAGTTAGTGTACACCAAGTTTTTCAATAAAAACAATGATAATATGAAAAAAGAGAAATTAGAAAGAAATAACACTAACAATCAAATAATCACAGTAAATGCATGATATGACTGCATTTAAAAGCTAAACTTTAAAAGTTTTACAATCATAGAAAGTCAATTTACTTTCAATCTCAATTTAATAATTTGTGCTCTTTTTAAATTGACCATAAGTTCAGAAGCTTAGTTTGCGGCACATATTATTATTGTTTTAAGTAATGTATCCACATTACATAGTTATTATATTTATAAAATGCATTTAAAAAGTATATATACACTTTTTAAACACATTTAGCTTAAAACATGTACTAATCATAATTACACAAATTCTGATACTTTGGTTTGCTGCACAGTATGTTCAGCTCAGTTGGAAGCACATCTGAACATATCTGGTTCTCATACAATTGCTTTAAAAATTACATTAATTATCAGCAAACTACATTTAGCAAAACTAAATACTACATGAAACTATACAAATACTATGTCCAAGTATGCAGTCAGTACTTATAGATTGTAATGTAAGAGGTACCCTGATCCTTTATTTTAGTAAAAGTTAAAACACCATGTTAAACTATTCAAGTGTTATCAGCAAAATATACCTAAAGTAGTTTACATATATTACAGTGCAAAATGGACTATTTGACAATGTTATACATTATGTGCATTAAATATCAGCAGAATTTTAATGTTGCAGCTTGTTAAGGTGGAGCTGTTAACTACTTTATATAGAGTTGAATCGTTTCATCTATAATTACGCATCATATTTTATAAATGGGTAATTTTGTTTGGTTTTGGATGTAAAATCTGAATTTGCATAATAACTAGTAACTATAGTTATCAGATAAATGTACTGCAGTAAAAAGTACAACATAGAGGAGTAGAAGTCACTAAAATGTGCCATGAAATTGTAGGCCTACTCAATTTTAGATCATAATTTTACAAAGATGCACTTAATGCGAGAACACACTATTTTTCTGAACTCATTACTACACATAAACACAATCCCAGGTTTCTGTTTAAGACTGTGGATCAGCTGGTAAACTCAACCCCTCCTTGTGCCTCAGCTGGAAGTAATGATGACTGTGAATTGTTTTTATCTTATTTTACCAATAAGGTGGTGTCAATCAGAGCCTCTATTACCCCCACTGCCTCTTACTCAGAGGTTCCTCACCAGCAACAAGAGAGTTTTAACCAGTTTTATCCCATCGACTTGTCTGAGCTTTTAAAAACAGTATCACAAATGAGAGTGTCCTCCAGCCCACTTGATGTAATACCTACAAAATTTTTACTGAAAGTAATAGATTCTGTTGGGCCCCATTTGATCTCTGTTTTCAACAGCTCCCTATCTACTGGTTGTGTCCCTGATTATTTTAAAACGGCTTGCGTGAACCCACTTTTAAAGAAACCTGGTTTAGATCCCTCCCTCCCACATAATTTTAGACCAATTTCAAAACTGCCTTTTATTGCAAAGATTCTAGAAAGAATTGTGTCCAAACAGCTGCTCACTGTACTGGAAAATAACAAATTATTTGTACCACAGCACTTAGACTGCCTTGCTTAAAGTCACCAATGACCTTTTAATGTCTGCTGATGAAGGTATGTGCTCAGTCCTGGTACGACAACCACTCAACATTACAGAAAATCAAAAGATCATGCAGCACATACATTACCACATCTCAACGTTAATATTGAATAATATTTCAAGTTTTAATGTTTTGTTTTTTATATTGCTTTAGAGCAAAATAACGGAGGGAGGTCTACACAATGACATACCATTGTTGCCTAATGCTATGTGCGCAGGGATACAATAAATACAATTTGATTCGGTAAATTCAATAGACTACACACAATAACACTGCTAACAACAATATAACAATGTAACAAGCCGACAAATACCCACATCTACCAAACAGTTACACTAAATTACATTAAAAACTATGCACTTTAGCAATTGGTGCAAAAAAGCCAGCTGAGTAAAACATTTGAAGCCAGAACCACCGTAAACGCTCACCTTTCCGCGGTCCAGTCTACCTGAAAGGCAGCGGACGGCCGGGTGAAGTACAGTAATATCGAACAATCTGATTGGCCGAGAAGAGAGGAGACTGACGTCGGGGGGCCGTGCGGTGTCTCTGATTGGTCCGCGGGGTGGAGCGATGATAGTGAGACTGAAAGTTTCTACAGCAACGGCCAATCAGAGGCGAGCTCGTCTTTCATAACCATAGCAGTGATGAACAGACTGTGAAGGTGGAGATGGGGTGGTCGGAGTCGGAGAACTTTGAGTCATACATGTGTGTCTTCCGCCTTAAAAGTACAACTCCAAAGTCAACTCTGGAAACGTTGTAGATGATAAATGGTGTAATAAAGTTTCCCCAGTTGAAAACGTATTATTACATTTCATTAAAGCACCACCAAACTTACTTTTTTGTTAGTTTGAACTATATTTCCTGTTCATCTGATATTTATCCACATTTATTCATATTTGTATTTATTCTACTACTTTACACTACTACCATATTCATACTTACTGGTACTGTATGGTACATATTCGACTGTACTTTTTCTACCTGCCTTCTTACTCTTTACACCTGTACAATTCACAGTGTATTTAAGTGCATGTCTGTCTACTACCTGTTCTCATTACGTGTATGCATTTACTACATTACAGTTAATACATTTTACTGTTAATGTACACCTGTCAACCACAATATCATATTTGATTCTTATAGCTTATAGCTTACAGATTGTTCCCGTGCTGCACTATTCTAAATCTGAAATTCTAATTAGATTTTACTTCAGTTTTTAAAACATGCTAGTAAACGCGTTGTTCGACGAGATTGAAATTTCATTGCCAATGCTCTACTTTAACTGTTGTGCATATGAGAATAAAGAAATTGTGTTATATTTCAGTTCTTGTCATGTTGAACATTTAATTGTGACTATAGGATTTAACATCTTTTGACATTTTTCAGCAGTAATATCATACTTGAAGGACTTTCTGTGGCAACACCAAAGTGGTGCCACAAGTATTTAAGTCCTTAATTAAAAGTACACTACAGTACAGTACTGTGATGCATGTGACTGATACATTAACATGTAGGCAGCATTTTAATGTTGTAGCTGATAGAGGTGGAGATTATTTTTGATAGTGTACTTCATATAATGTTAGGTAGGTTAATCAGTGAGGATGTATCATATTTTGTAAGATAATTATAAAGGAAGCAAGTACATAAAATTTCAATCTGCCAAGTAACTTGTAACTTTATCTGTCAAATAGAAGTTTAAAATAAGTTTAAAATGGAAGTATTTCTCTCAAAAATGTCATTTTCCACCATTGCAAAACAAGCTCAAAATTTTAAAATATTAAAAGTTGTCTAAATAGAAGCAGAATTACAAGAACTTTGCCTAAATAAAATACAAAATTGCAGAAAAAAAAATGATGCCAGCTTTTGCTAAGTTATTCTGGTCAGTACCAAAAAAAAACAACGTATTAATGTTCAATACCCGACACATTGAAATTGTAATAGATTAAACACAGTACTGTAATTGAAATATCACACAAAGCACGTTCCATTTCAATATTTTACTGATTTGGCAAAGTTTTAAAAACAGATTATATCATTTCACAGCTTTAAATACAAGAAGCATATTTATTAATGATAATATAAAACAAGTAATTAAACATTGTCAAAGTCATTAGCCTACATGACATTCCTCAATACACTGACAAGAAACAGCGATACCAGTTACTATTATAGTAATTTCAATATAGGAGGAGAGGGAAGAGAAAGAGGGTGAAGGAAAAGAAAATCAAGAGTAGGTTTGGTCACTTTCCAGACAGAGAGAACAGATTAGTAAAGTAGTAAAGAGAGACAGAAACAAAGAGACATATTGAAATTGGCACATTCATAGTACGTCAGGGTGCGCAGTAGTAAATAGGGTTGCTACACCAAGGGAGAGAAGGGTACTGTTGAAGGATAGAGATGAGGGCCATGCAGTGGGCTCAGGCTGTTGGTGTCATTAGTGGTTGCAACCACAGCAAAGACAGTAAAGCACTGATACATCCAACAGAATTTTTGTTTTTGTTTTCTCAAACAGCATCTCTGTCTGTCAATGTTTTTGGCAACATGAATGAGGCTTCTCCTTTACCAGAAGAGTTGTATTCCAGTGAAAAGTCAGTTTTTTTAGAAGAAATGTACATTTTCTGCAACTGCTTCTCACGTGGCTGTTCTCAATTCATGCGGACTAACGCAACCGACACGTCATCACCGATCTAGAGTCAGCTTTCAAATGTATTTCTTTATCCCAGAACAGCGGCGCCGAGTCCAGCTGCGCTCTGTATGGTAACAGTACTCGAGACGTGACAAAGGAGAAGAAGAAGAGGGAATCAGGGGTGTAATTTGACATTCAGGCACTCTTGAACTTTACTGCAACACTGTGAAAGGTCAGAGGTCAGACAGAGCGCATTCATGCGGCGTCATACCACCACACAGAGACTCAAATGCACACAAACACATACTGTCATGTGGAGGCAAAGGAGCACTTTTAAATGCAAGCACACGCTCTCACACACACACACACACACACTCAGACACGGACACACGTTTCAGGAGGATAAAAAACAAAGGAGAAACAAAGATTTCAGTCCCAAATGGTCTTTTCTCTCCCATAGATTAGATCAGTGGTCTCTCTCAGAGCTAGTTCATGTTAACATTACTAATGTTAAAGTAACTTTGCAGTTATAGTAGCTTCATATCAGTAGCGTTTTAATGACACTGCAGCGGTACAGTGGTGCCTCAAACTTGGTCGTCCAGTCGCCCGCAGCACTCCTGCCAGGAGGGGGTTAAAACACGGGTTTGACCACCCCACCCCTTTGTTACAGCTCCCCCAATCAGGTAAGTGCAAAAATCTTCATCTTCATCATCCCCAACAACAACAATCTTGTCATTTTCTTCATCTTTGTCAGCACCTGTGCTAATGCTGCCCAACATCAAAGCATTGGCATTATAGACAGATCCAAGATCAGTATTCAGCAGGAGAATATATTCTGCTCCATATCAGTGGCAGGTGTCAAGAGCAGTCATAAGGGCTTATCGATCACAGTCACACCTGTGGTTTAAAAAACAACAACAAATATTAGGATAGTGCATCGCTATCATTTTCATAACATGATGAATATAATATAAAGAATTAATTATAAAATCTTAATGTGTTTTGTCCGCCATAGTTACTGTTGTGAGTACCAATAGTAGGAATACCAGTGCTAAAAATAGAACTGCACATCATTGTTCTTGATATGACACTGTCTTTTTTAAATTAACACTTAATTGATCCCTGGGGTAAATTACGTGAAACAGCCCACATTCAATAGGTACAAAAAGGACAGAGTAAATCAAAATGAATCAGAATTAAATTAAATATCTATACAAATACAAAAATTTACTTGTAAGTAGAGAACAAACTGTACAACTGTTGCCTCATCTAAACATGAGTATGCTGTGTTCAATTTACTGATACCACATTACATGATTCCTGGGTTAGGCAAATGTATGCAAAATCCTATATAATACAATCAGATTGGTGTTCAACGCAATGCAGTGAATGTGTTCCACTGTTATTATGCATTACATCTGACGAAACTGTTCACAATATGTAAAAGAAGAAGAAGAAAGAAAAACATCTCCTAAAGGCTGATAATGATTAAACTACCAAAGATAAGTTCAACCTTTTTCAAAAGTTACCTCTTACTGCGGTTGATGCAAAATAAGTTATATAAGTTAGCAGCATTGTACGTGCACACTTTTGAGCACGCATGTTCACGTGTTGCCTACACACCTGCATAACTGCGTCCTGTGCTCATGCAGGTAGGCAGTAGAGTCCACTTGTCTGAGTTTGGATTGTAGAACTCCACAGAGGCTAAATTGCAGCTGCCATCGTCTCCTCCCACCACATAGAGTACGTTATTTACAGCACACACACCTAAAAACACAAACCCACACACAGAATGATGATAAATGGACGTCTCACAAGAGACCCTGGGTTGTCTTGGTGGACAGACGTCTTCCTTACCCGCGTTGCGTCGACACATGTTCATGTCAGCTACCTGTCGCCAGCTGTTAGAGGCAGGGTCATAAACTTCACAGCTCTTCCTCACCAATGGACCATCATGACCCCCCACAGCATACAGTAAACCTTTTAACACACCCACACCTGTGGAGGACATTGTACAAAAAAGCGTTTTACAAGATGGTTACCACCTCTGTATTGTCATGAAATTCCCTATAGCTCAATATGCAACCCCTTTTACTACTAGTCTTATTTTTTTTTAAATCAACAGATTATCATAATTATGTCTTATAGGATGTGAGTTGTTTTGATGGATAAATCTGTCTGTCAGTCTGTCGGCTTGAAGTTTAAAAAACGTAATGTATTCAAATTTAAGAACAAAACCACACACGCTCTCACCTGCTCCGCTGCGTCTCGTGCCCATCTCTGCGATGTAGCTCCACGTGTTGCTTTTAGGGTTGTACGCCTCTACTGTACTCAGACATTGCCTGGTTGCACCATCATAACCTCCAACTGCATACAAGATCCCTGAAATACAAAGAACCCAAGGAATGCATGTAGTTCATAACTTAGAATGAGGGAGACATGGGGTGGACAAAATAATAAAAAACACATTAAAAACACAATTTGGTAGCCAAGCAGGAAATACAACTTTTGTAAAGCTCAAAACGCTGAAAGGTTTTGATGCAATTTAGCATCCCACAGCCACATCCACAGAACGTTTACTTTGGGAGATATACACTTATTTCTCTTTGTTTTACATGTTGTCTTTTGTATCCCTTCTATCTCTCTTTTCCCATTTTCTTCTTCCTGTAAAGCCCCTCTCTAAAATTTGCATGCTTGAAATTCTGTGTTGATTAAGGTCTAGTATCTTGTTATCACTTTGTTAATGCTGTTTTCCTGTGTTTTATAGCAATCTCTAAAAGAGTACAATAATGCATTATTGTATCAAGGGCTTCAAGCCAAAAGCTGTATTCATTGCAGGACTATTGTATGGTTTATAAGGTGTTGTGCAGCCTAAATGCAGACAGTAAAACTGAACTGGGAACTGTACTCACCATTGACAACACCCACTCCTACACTGCTTCGTCGGGTACTCATGGGCAACACATGGAACCACTCGTCTGTCTTAGCGTTATATGCCTCGATTGTCGACAGACCTGCAAAGACACACAGAACGTGCATCAAAAATAAAAAGCCTGTAGGGATGCAGTGTCTTGGCATCACTGATCCAGACAATTAAAACATTTTTAACGTCACACCAACAGAACTGTACCTGTGCTGCCGTCAAAGCCCCCCACAGCGTACAGGAGTCCATTGAGCACAGCAGCCCCAAGCGTTGACCGACGGTCTTGCATGCTGCTCACACTCGTCCAGCGGTCCATCATCGGGTCGTAACAGTCGACCGTCCGCACACGCAGCGAACCGTTGAAACCACCAACCGCATAGACACACCCACCAACGTACACCACACCTGGAGGCAACGTCAGAGGAAATACACTGAGAGCTAAACAAAAATATCTACAAAAAGACTTCACACATCTGGTCTAGCGAGGGTGAATATTCAAGCAGCCTCAGAGTGGACAAGTGATAAAGGGGGTCGTCTTTGGTCATGGTTACACTTTCTTTTGTGAATTTTCTTAAGGATCATCATCTAGTAAAAAAGAAAACCCTTAACTATTATTTCCTTTTGTAAAAAGCAGTCACCTATATTGTTTTTAGTGTCTACTTGTACTCTTGTTGAAAGTATTATACTTCACTGCATTTTGGAGGTGCTTGTGTTTCCATTTTTGCTTCTTTATACTACTTCTTTTCTATATTGTACATTTATTCCACTAATTTTATTTGACGTTTAACATTAGTTAGCAGTTACTTTACAGATTCAGATTATTAACACAAATTATAAACTAATCATCACTCAACTAATAAATGATGATGTATTATTATGGATTAAGCTACCAGGCATTCAAAGTAGTTTGGGTTAATGCATCACTGATTTTATACTACTTTTACTTAAGTAAAAGGTCTGACCATTCTTCCACCACATTTCTGCTGATGTAACAAAATAACGAACTTGTTTTCCTCCATGCATTCTCGCAGTGAGGCCTATCTGTGGGTGTATGTGTTGGAAGATAATCGGAAACATGCCACCAGGGGGCATGGTAAAGGATTGATGCTGTTTGCAACAATACACAGATCATCTTTAAATATGCAATATACTGAAACCAAACAAGAATGCCTCGGAATATGAATTCTGGTTATAAATAGATTGACTCTCAAAGCCAAAATATGACTTTTAAGCGTACCCACATGTCAAAAAAGACAGAAGTTACCACAGTCTGTAGCGTTGTCTGTACTTCTAAACTGAATACATCATAATGACTCGACAACCTCTGTTCCCTTTTCATACACTAATGAAAAATACAGCCTTCTTTAGCCTGAATCTGGGGGACCGTGTACTCTTTGCAACCCTCGGTATCCTTTAGTTTTTGGAAATCTCACATGAGCCACGCCATACGAGGCATTCATATTCATCAGTTGCTGTAAAATATATCACTTGAACTAGACAAATGGAAAACTCACTAGAAGGCCTGAACACCAACACATACATGGATATAGTATATTAAATATTAACATTGTACGCCATTTGCCAATAACACTGGTAATGTAAAACAAAACCTGTCTAGTTTACAAGTGGTATTTACACTTATTTGGTTGTTTTTGGGCGAGGTCCTGCAAATAAACTTCATTTTATTAACTTAATATTCACAAGTTGATGAGGACCACCTGCATGCACCATTAGTTTGGTGATTTTGGGAGTAGGTGAAGGTATAAGTCTGGCCTTCAGCTCCTCTGATGGACCCAACTTTGCGTTCTTCCAGCCACTTCATTGTGATTAAGTTTATTGTTACTGAGGGTTTCCTACCTGCTCTGCACCTCCTGGTCGGGAGCTCAGCCACCTGGTACCATCGCTGCTCCTCAAAGTCATAACATTCAACACTGCGTATGGCCTTGGGAGCCTGGCCTCCAACCACAACCATCACCTAAACAAACCAGAAACATCAGCGCCATTACATGAAGAATTTAATATAAACTTTCTTATTACCTAAGAGTAAGTCTTCATAACTCAGTAGAGGCTGTGTAGTACCTTAGGACAGCAGGCTGGAGTCCTTATGCGTGTGCGTGCAGTTTTCATCAGAGCTCTCTGGTCAGCTGGCAGCAAGTGGTACTTCATGGCTTCAATCAGGTAGTCTTTACAGGCACTGCTATTCTTAATCAGAGACTCCTCCTCTACCCGCTAACCCAACCAAAGAGTGAGAGAGGAACCAGTCAGGCAACTGGATTTACAAAGTGCTACAGTATATTGTGACAAAGAAGCTGAGGAAACCGTAAATCTAAAATCAAAGAAAAATACACTTTAAAAATAATATTTATTTATTGTACTGGTCTACTGACAAATCTAATGATTTGTAACACCCAAACAACGTTAATAGCACAAAGAGAATAAATGGTTTTATAAGTTCAGAACATCCAGTGGAGGTGCATTGGTGTTGAAATTGTAGAAATGGTAGTGTGCTTCATGTTTTCCAAAATAGGATTAAATACTAGATGGCCCAACTTTGGCCACCATAAAGACTCATGTAAAATGATCAAACATCAGCATCATAAGCTGAATCATCATGAAAGACAAAAATCTAAGTAACACAGAAGTTTTGTTAGCAATGAGAGCAAATGAGTTAATAACACAATAACCTGTTGTCTGTGAGAGGAAGGCAACTGCAAAATCCACTGTTGATGTCGAATTAACAGAAAGGTTGAGCTTCCTTGTATCAGTAACAAAAGGAGCATAATTAAAATTTTCTTTCTTCTCTTCTTTTACCTCATTCTTTCTTTTTTCAAAAGTCAATAATAGTGCATTTTTAATACACAATGCACATTCTGCGGTAGATTTGGAGATGGTATCCAAGCATTTCACACCAATCACCTGATTTAAAATTTGGGGCCAATGCTTCCTCAGATTTATCAGAGCAACAGTGACAAGAGCAAGAGCCCCATTTAATTTAAGAGAGCACAAATTTGCTTCAACAAGCACTCATACCTGCACCAGGTACTCTCTCGTAAGAAGCGGCAGGCGAACATGTTCCATCAGGTGAGCCAAATGTTCCTGCCGGACGTCTTTGTCATGGTTGACCCAAGCTATCACTGCCTCAAAAACCTACACAATAAAGTACACACTTTGATCACATCAGGTGCAAAAATCTGGTCATGCTGTCCTACCTGAATATACTGAGCAGGATGAATGTGTGTGTACCTTCTCCTCTGTGGGGATGGCGAGCTTGTCGCTGGCGATCAGGCTAGACACTTGCTCCATGCCCAAATTGAGGAACTCTTCACTCCCAACCACCTCAGTGAAATGTTGCTCTGTCAGCATAAACATCAAATAAACAAAAACTACTCTCGAACCGCAGGTGAACACAGCCTTTATTTTTCTTCACAACTGTGTTTCTCAACATTTTCATTAATTAAACCTGTTCTCATTCCGTCTCATCTATACTGTCACACATCCTCCAGGACATATAGAAACCCATTTCGGCAGAGCAATAAGAGGTGTTCACAGCACACAGACACACACAAACAAAATAATTGAGTTTTGCACACATACAAACCTGCATAGCTGTTCGCCTGTGTGAGGAGCTGAGAGCAGGCGTGTAGGTCAGCGAAGGCTCGTATTCCCAGACAGTTGGATGGATGAAGCTGAGAGCTCAGGAACTCACAACAAGCCTTTTTCACCTCATTCAGCTGGAGTAGGCTTGCTGCAGGCAGCAACGCCTGTCAAACACACACACACAGATATTAAAAGGGGCAGTGTGTAGAAACACTATCTTTATGTCAGCTGATCACAGGTTTAATCACCCAAACAATCAGCTGCATGTCACTGTTACAGTTTCCTTGAGTGAGAAACTATACTGCTCCACTTGAAGCTGCTGCTGCTGCGTATGTATAATATGTGTATTATTATAGTACAAGGTCTGTGTTTCTAAACGAAACTGTAAATAACAGTAGCAAGAACTCTAAAAGTCATATTAGTTTAGTTTTAATATTTTACACTTTCCAAGCAAGGCTAATTTGCTTAATGTCAAACATTTGAACGTGACAACAGATTCCCATTTTCAGCTTAATCTCGTAAGTATAACCCAGCAACACCTCTGCTGAAATGAAAAAAAAACCTTGGGCAGGAAAAGTACTATCATTTTGGAAAGTAATGTACCCTCTCCTACTTGGTAATACACAGTTATTGGTAGTGATAAATGTAATGTCACTAGGGGGAATAAAACTCACTGTTATTTGCAGTCAAGTTTTGTTTACTGAAGACTTGCTGTCAAGGTCGACTGTTATTTCATTCATTAGGCGTCATTTCTTCATCGTTAACAGGTTGTTGAGGAAGGACATAAAACAAGGATCAATCTATAGATGTGTAGCTATGGAAAAATAGCCAGTTTCATTTCATAGGGCGGTCAGAAAGGCGGTATCTTTAAAGAGGTTCAATCAGGCATTTGGAGGGGCTGATGGAGAATTTTGAACAACAGGATATAGGTATTCAGATAATGCATTTATGGGAGTATAAACGTGTGTGGGTTTACCTGCACGTTATCCTCTGTGACCTGTATCTCCGCTGTGTAGATGTAGTCTACCAGCAATCCCAGAGTCCAACCGTCCATCTCCTTTATCCTCACTCGCTTCGCCCTGCTCTCTGCCATCTCACCTGTGGGTACACACACGTGTTCAGACATCCATTACCGCACAGGACATAACAAACTCATAAAAACAGACACTTGAAACACAGGGTGCAAAGATGCAAAGATGGACGTCCAGCAGCATGGATGGAAGAGAGGCCTCACCTGTGAACATAGCGTGGAAGTAGGGACTCCCAGCAGCCAGAACCACCCTGTGAGCAGAGATCTCTACATCTTCCGCCACTATGGTCACATCACACAACAAGCTCTGGCTGTATGGGAATGTTAAGAGAATGAGAGGCGAGAGATTAAAATTAAAGTTTAAATTGGTGGTACTTTGTGGATGATGAAACAAACAAAGAACTGCATCACCTGCGCAGCTCGTTCATGACTTTGAACGCCTTCCTCATGTGCCGGGGGTTGAGAGTGACAGGACCTTGCCGCTCGACTCCATCTTCTTTGTCCAGAGTGTGTGGACAAAGTCTAGTGCACCTGAGAGGGACAGGTGACAGATTCATGAAGCAAACAAACAAACAGAATAATTAAGTAATTGTGTCTGGCTAGATCATAATGTATGTTCTCTTTTACATACAGGAGGTTGGTAAGTAAGTGAAATTACACAACAAGGTGTCCACGGCTAGGCAATAAAATAATGATAATTATCACGATATAATATTTCTCAATAACAACATAACAAATGTTTGATTTAATTCATTTGAATCACAAATTAGCACTTAATTTTTCTATTAAGATCTTTATTTTTTTGAGGAAAAGGGACTGAAAAAGGACTTTACTTAATTTTACTCATCTGATTTGTTGAAAAAACGATTTTATCATAATTACTTTGAATTTTCTACCTGAGGTTTGTGAATTTTTTCTCACCATAAAGAATAGTTTAAAACCCCAATTAACCATCTGGTTTCTTCAAATTTCACTCAGGAGCAAAAATCAGCCTTTAAACTTAAAAGAAATAATGATTTAACATTTATTGTGATGATTATCAATATCAATAATTTTTTATTGTGATAACATTTTTGGCCATATTGCCCAGCCCTACCTGATATACAAATATAGTTGTTATTTTCCATAACAGGTCATCTCAGAGTGCATTATCGTTCATATGCGATGGCCACGTTCTACAGAATGAGAAGCTGTGCTCTAACACGGGGAAACTATATTTTTTCATTTTTCTCTCATGGTCCTGAGATTTCTGTCTCCACTAAAATACAATGAAAAAAAAAAAATCAAACCACAAAAAGCTACTGTATGTAATAACGTGGTTTTTTTTTATTTGTTTGAACACACCCTTTAATGTGTTGACTGGATCTTTGTTTGAGGTGTCATGCCACCTGCCAGCCAATCAGAAACAAGTACTTTCTATGACCATGACATAAAAAAATAAAATAAAAGAGCACTGTCTGCATAACAGCCTAATTTATATAAATTACCAAAACTGCTTCAACTGGGGTGCATTCCAACAGGCTGAATGTCAACTAGCAGCATTTGTCAGCTGTACAGAGATAAAACTGAAAGGTGCACCAGTACAAAACTGTTTTTTAAGGGAGGCATACACAAAAATCATTACAATCAACGGCAAGCACATACACATTACATGAAGGTCACAGTTTGACAGGGACATGATTGATTAGTATATGACAAATGCTGCTCCTACATGAAACCTATGAGTCAGCACTCTAGCACAATTTGCAACTGTGATTTAGTTATGTCACAGTTAAAGGGTCGATTCACCCAAATTACAAAAAAAAAAGAAGAGGTTTCTTGAATACAATCCTTTCTATTAAAGACATAGTCCCCCAAAAACTGTTGACAGTGCGTCATGTGGACTATGCAGAGTAGTTGGAGAGAAATATTGCTGTTGTACTGTAATATTTTCATTGCTGTAAGAACCAAAAATAACACATCCACTGTACTAAGGTGTAGAAGATTAGATATAAGAACAAGAGTAAGTTTGATATAACTAATACTAAAAAAAACTATCAGTATGATGCAGTACAGTTCAACAGAACCACAAACTACTGCCTCCAAAACGATCATGAAGTTGAATCAACACCTCTCTGAAACAGTTTCAACATAACCTTCACAAAGGTAGGATTTATTGCAGGACTGTTGCATGACACTGCATTAGTTTTAGTCAGGTGTACAAAAACTGGACCCTACTGACACTACCTCCCAACCTCTGTGAGCAGTTATGTGTACCCTTTTGCTTCCAAGCTACCATTAAGTAACAACCCAACCCAACCACTACCACTATGCTGGAATAATACCACCTGGGCTCAACTTTTATGTGTGTCAATTGGTTTGAGGTGATTTTATTAAAACAACAACTTTCTTTAGGAACGTGCATCATGTGAGCTCAATGTACCTATTAAGGTCTTCAGATGAACTTCTGAAAGACAGGGCCACAACATTAGCATATAATGCAAGGCTTCTCATAGTTGATTCTGTACTGTAGCTCCATAACAAATTTGGAATTAATCAAATTACCTAAACCAATTGACACACAGTGAATCTGGGTCTTTTGGCAAGATAAACCAGCCTTGACCTAATCAAATGGCAACTAAGCGAAAATTTGAATTCAGCACTTCAAACTATAACTAATTAACTGACTGAAGAAGTATTCAGATCCTTTTCTTGAGTGAAAGTACCAATACTTTAATGTAAAAATACTCGGTTACAAGTGCAAGCCATTCAAACCTCAATCCTACTTGAGTATTACATATAGTTCATATTATCAGCAAAATATACTTAGTATCAAAATGAAAGTAGTTATTCTGCAGAAAAATTACCAGTGACAGACTAGTATTATTATGAATTATTTTATTACTGATGTATCATGTAACATTTACTGTTGTAGCTGGTTGAGGTGGAGCTGATTTGAATTATTTTATTTACAGTTCTGTACTTAAGTCCAGTTGTTTGCAACCAGAAGTGTTCTGGTTCACATGATAAATCGGAAGAAGTCCTGAGAGGAAATTTTAAAAAGGACAAAGTTTTTTGTTTTGTTACAGATTTATATTCAATTTTTGGAATTTCCCCTAATCTAAGCAGCATTTTGTGAATCATTTGATATTTTTAGGGGTTGGAAGATACTGATGGCTCTGCACTTTATAAGATGATCATATATGCTGTATGTCGAATATGGCTGTCAAATAAATGTGGAGGAGTAACAAAGTACAATATTTACCTCTGAAATGTCCTTAAGTATAAGCATAAAACATGGTATTACTCACATTTAGTACAAGTACCTCAACAATGTAAATGTACTTACTTTAAGGCTTTCCACCACTGTAATCAGCACACACAAATGGCCCCTCTCTCTTTTATAACAAAACATCCAACCCTTAATCTAATTATACTGCTCACGGCAAAATCACGTGGCCCCTTGTTTTCTGACACAAACACCCACCCACACACACACATGGCACTTAACACATATATCCCCTCTGCCATAAACAAAACACCTGCGCTGTAACAACAAATCATAACATTATAACACATCCAGGCTCGGCATCAGTCCCCGGGTATCAGTGACCCCCCCGCGGTCAGTGAGCAGCCACACCGGCTGCCCGCTGTCTCTGTCAATGCGGCACCATCAGTCAAGCAGCCGCTGGGAAACGTCAACACACACGCTAACACACACTGCTTTTTTTAATGCACTTACAGCGGGTGACTGTCCATGATTCCGGTGTTTCTCAGAGGCTGAAAACTTGGCCCAGCGGCATGCACCATTCCATATCCACAATGTCGTCTTCAGTGGGTCTAAATTCAAGCGTGAATCACGGCGATCAGGTGTCCAGAGGCGGCGAGGAGGGCTGACGGCAGCCCCATTAAATCAGGCTGGTTCGTATAAATACAAAGCCCGACTGCGGTGACACTCAGTGCAAACACGTTGCGCCTCCACCCGGCTGTTAACGCCCGCTGACTGCTTCTTCTGTCGGCGCCCCGCAACAACAACAAAACAAAAAAACCACAGCGTCAAAAAGAGGGTTTATTCTGCTTTAATGCTTCTCCCTCTTCCCTCCTGGGTGTATATGGGTGCGAGGGGCGGACGGACAAGGCTACCTGTTATTCTCCAATCGCTGATTAAAACGCACAAACAAGGACATGTCGGCAAAGACGGTCCTCTGAGCAGCCAAGGCGTCCCACAAGAAAGCACTGTCTCCCTCTAGCTGTGGGAGACCGGGCAGGGAGGAGGCACACACGCGATTATAATACACATTCTCATGGTAAATAGATCAAACATCTGACTACTTTGGACAAATAGATTGCAGTGTTACAGCAGGCCAATTCAGACAACAAAAAACACAAACAAATGTATGAACCCGAATCAATAAAAAGCCAAATAATGTACAGTCACAAATTAAAAACATGAGAATAACAAGCCTAACATATCAGAATATTTAACTTTAATATGTATTGATTATACACTCTACAATGAGTTGACATTAGTGCCTATTACTGTACCTTAATTGTAGAGATCAGTGGATAATGTTGCTGTAAAGAAATGTGCAAGGTACTACGGTGCTACTAATAACTATTCATTAAATATAGATTTACACTCACAGGAAAAGCTCTGTTAATTAATAATGTAGAATTAAGATAATTATCAAGTCAGACTATCTCATAATTTCGATTTAGTGTATTACATTTATTCATTTAGCTGACGCTTTTATCCAAAGCAACTTACAATTGTTATATATGTCAGAGGTCGCACGCCTCTGGAGCAACTAGGGGTTAAGTGTCTTGCTCAGGGACACAATGGTGGATGGGTCACAGTGGGGGATTGAACCCGGGTCTCTCACACCAAAGGCAGGCGTCTTATCTCAACTGTCTATCTAATACCTCGTATTCCTACTGTGTTTGTAATTGTTCCTTTTTTTGCTGTTTTTAATCTGTGAACCTTGCATGTAATTTCATTCTACAGTGTACGGTGGAATGACAATAAAGAAATCTTGAATCTTGATAACATTTCATTATATTTCTTTTTCCAGTCAGAAATGGGTTTCAATAAAGTAAAGTTTCAAGTTGAGGATAAATAACAAGCATTTACTCAACTACAGCTAATTCAGTAAAGTAGTCATCATCTCAATCAGAGAATGTAGCCTATAACAAGAACCAAAGGGGAGCTGATTTGGAGCTCTGCAAATGCAATGATAAATGTACGGTTCCCCAGTTTTCTCATGCCACGACCACAGACCCTTGTTTTGCAAAAAGCCTTGTCCCCAGAGCCCATCTGTAGAGATTTCTGTCTGGCTGTACTGCCAGCGGACAGGCGATAGCTGTGAAGTCTGTTATGGTGTGAAGTCACTGAATACATTAGAGACACCAGGAGGCTCAGTCATGGCTTATCTGAAGTTATTTCTCTGTCATGATTTCATGCATAAATGACTTGGAATTAAAGCTGTGATTACGTTCTTCTTTAAATCCATAATGGCAAGATTCCATATTTAATTATAAATACATAATCATATATAGATATTTAATGTAAATGCATGAATATTTTAAATTATGCATCACAGTTTTAGCAATATTGTAAGGGATGGTTTTCCATCCACGGGACAAGCTTTGGAGAATAAAGGAGTGATTTAGTACTGCATTTCCATAAATGCGGCAGAAGCCGGAATCTTGACTTTTAAGTGTAGGTAGCCAACAACTTTATAGCATGTAGTCAATACCCATGTCTTTTAAACTCCATGACTTTTCCAGTAAAAAAAACTGTAGTCCAAACTGTGATTGTTTCAGACTTTACAAAGACACAAAAGACTTTAAACAATTGTTTTGACTGGCTGAGTACTACTCTTCAGGACTGGTAAACTCATCTTCATGTGTAAAGTTGGTGAAATACCCCTTTAAATTCTAGAGCTTAAACCTGCATCCAATAACAATAGTCTAGATTCAAAATACTCACAAATTTCATTTTATTTTTACCGTAAAAAAGTCAAACAGAAATATTTACACAAATCAAAATACTGAAACAAAAAGTTTAAATAAAACTATCTATGTCGTAATTTCCCCACAGCTTGGCAGAGACAGCGTCACATGTTTGTCCTCTTCTTTAATGTTTAGGTACGATCACACGATACCTCTGTCCTGCAAATATTCACTCCATCTCCCATTCACTTTAAGTCAAGCCTCTGTGAGTGACTGTTTCAGTGTGATTTTCATCCGGCTGCGGCTAACTTGCAGGTCAGGTCCAATGTGACCGAACATTTAGTGTGTTAGTTTGGTTTTAAAGGGGCAGGGGGGAGACTCGCAGAGGCCTGCTCCAGAAAGGCCAGCGGTCCAGGAGGGGGAAGGTCTGAGGGTTTGCGGTGCTGCGCGCTCACATCCTCAAGCACTTGTTGCCAGTGGTGTAGTTTGGCCAAATGTTTCTGAACCAGGGTTTCTTTCCTCTGTAGCTCATTACGTAACTCTGACACATCCTGCAGTGGCAAAAAAAAAAAAATGTACGTGAGAAAAGAGAAGGCACATTAACAAACAGAGAGAAAAAGATTAGTACGTAAACACTGACAGCATGTCACAAATTCAGATCGAAGAAATCAGGAAATGTAAGTGAACCCTGGATACGACGCAGATAATGGTTCCCAACATGGAGTTTAGGATCTCCAAGATTTCACCTCATGCTTACACACGTAATTTGGGGATCATGAGTAGTTTTTATGAGAGCCAAAACCTTCAAGTACACAAATGAATGGAAAAGTAAGGGGAAAGTACATGGATGGGACTACTTCAAAGCTGTCAAGATAAATGAGAATGGCTTCATTTTCCTACTGGAACAGGATCTGGGACTAGCACCTATTTGATAATGTTACTGCAATTTGAATTAGGATTATCTCGGCAACAAAAAGGAAATCGGTAGAATGTCAAAAGACAGATTTGTTGAATTTCTTCAAACCAGTAGGTAAGTCAGACCCCAAGCAGGCCCAAGACATCTCAAAGGATCAACAGCGTGGTGATAATAGCAGCACAGTGATGAGCAAACTAAGAAGCAGGAAAAGGAGGCAGAGGACTGTGTGGATGTTTTGTTGGCAGTATTGGACAAATAAACAAGGTAAATAAACATTTTTTACTACTATGCTCTGTTGTGTAATGTTGACGATTGATTGGGAGTGTGATGAGTATGATGATGACTAATGTATTAGGCCAATGAATGAGGAAATGCAAGCCCTACATATAGACCTACCGGTAGCAGAACTGTATGCTAGCAAGTGGATTCATGCTTTTTGGTATCTAAATATTTTGGCATATGATTACTGTAAGCCCCAGAGTTAAGCAAGTGGGCGTTTGTGCTGTGAAATGGTGAATTGAGTCTGGATAAATTAGCGGAGACAGACAGAACAGGTCACTTAGTTTGATTTCTTAGCCAGTTTGCTTTTCACTGTTGTAAATAGAACTTTCTGCACTACTTCAATTTCCCCACATTGTAGCAGCAATCCACAGACAGAAGGGAAACGACAGGGAAGTTAAGGGACACTCAACGAGAGCGACAGTGAGTGAGGGACGCAAACTGTAAACAGCTCTTTCCACACACCTCCCAGTGCTCATTTTGAGTGGTTATTGTGAATGATCTCATTAATACATGTAAATAAATAATGCATTGTTTTGCACTCTCTGTGCTCTGGGACATCCTGATTTATAAATTACGCACTGCAAGTAAGTATAATAATTTACCTCTTTCACCACCTGCTCTGGTTTCTGCACAGACAACTGAAGCCTTTTCTGTAAGAAGAAGCACTCCGTTTGTCGAGCCACGTCCAGGAACTTTTGTATGCACTGGTCAACACCTGCAAATAGACATACACCGATATACAGATTACAATGGTGCGGCTGTGGCTCAGGATGCAGAGTGGTTGCCCACTAATAAGAAGGTGGTAGTTCAATCCCTGGCACCTCCAGTCTGTAGCATGTCGAAGCGTCATTTGGCAAGATACTGAACCCCAAATTGCTGTTTCTGTTTCTGATGAGCAGTTGGCACCTTCAGAAACAGTATCTATATGTGAGTGTGCAAAAGCCCTTTGAGTGGTCCGAAGACTGAAAAGGCTTTATACAAGTACAGACCATCTACCGTTTAAACTACCTTAAACAAAAAAAAGAGGCTTCTCTCACCAGTTCGAATCTCCTCCTGGTCAGTACCATTAACGTAGTCTTGGCTTACCAGGGATGCAAAACATGCCTGAAGAATAAATGCAGAGAGAACATAAATAAATTAGACTTTTTCTAAATGGTTCAAATCCTGCTCCTTGGCGTTGGAGTGAGGGTGTTTTTTTAGCCCTCTAGTCCCTGACTGGATGAATAAGGATAAAAACCAGCAGGTCCGTCAAGGCCAGGTGACAAACATTATTTTGCCGTGAGAATCTGTTTCCCCTTGAATGATACCAGATGTCTATCCTAAGGAAACAGGAAAAGAATATTCAAGATAAGACTACATGGTTAAAAGTATGTTGACATCTGACACCATTACACTTGTACTGTATATGACTGTTGGGCTTTAATATGCTACTCTAACAGCCTTCACTCTTCATGGAAGGCTTCCCACAGGATTTTAGAAATTGGCTGCTAAGGCTGAACAATTAATCGAAATATTATTGAAATGGCTGTATGCAAATTGCAACAGTTTTTTGATAAAAAGTCAAATGTGTCACAATTTTTCAGCATATCATTCAGCCCTACTGGGTGCAGGGATTTGCTTCCATTCAGCCACAAGACCATTAGTGAGGTCGGTCTCTGTCATTGGATGATAAGGCCCGGCTCACAAACGGCGTTAGAGTTCATCCTAAAGGTGTTGGGTGAGGTTGAGGTCAGGGCTCTATGCAGAAGAGTCAAGTTCTTCTACACCAAACTGAAAAAATATTTCTTTACAGGTTTCATTTTGCGCAAAGGAAAAGCCTTACAAAAAGTGAGATACACATCTACTGGAAATCCCAGCAGCCAAAAACGCTAATTTCAAGAGCAGCAGAAAAGGTTACAGTCGAAAGAGTACAGGCATGAATAATAAACTTAACATGAACTTTCAGGAACATGGTATTGTTGCTGCTGGCAGTCACACTGTCATGACTTACTCAGAGACTTGAAATAACAGAGCCATCTTTAATTTTTTAATACTAACACCTGTGCTTTTTACTGCTATAAAAGTTGAAATGTCTGCTGTGAAAAATGCCCTTTTGTTTTATTTCTTATTAATATACTGCAAAACTTCTATTAATAGCCCAGGCTTTTATTTGCCTAAATCACTGAACTCACTATGCTGTCCCATATTTGGGACAGCCGGTAAATCTGAATGAACACCACGTTGGTGCTCATTGTTTCTGCAAAATGAACTAAATTTTTGAATTGTGGAGAATGTAACATTTATATTTGTATGCAGGATATACACCAGTGGTTCTCAACCTTCTCTGATAGGACTTTGGCTTTTAGATGTTTTATTCCAGAAAGTGTATGAAAACCAGTGATTACTAACTTGGAACTATTTCCTTAATTTCAACTAAGGGGCCTAGTCCACACCATGGAAAACTGCCCCAGAATAAAAGTAAACATGTTATTGGGAAATGAAAGCGTTGTAGTCTTGGCTGTAACATCTCAAGTAAAAGAAACCAAAGATACAGGTTATGTTATTGGGATGTTAAGAAGTCGCTATTGTTTGGGTTTAGGAAAAAAGGTTTGCACAAAGGAAGGAAGTGTTAGATTTGGAGCTTTTATGTCAGCTGTCAACAAGCTGTTTTGCTGGACTACAGACCCGAGTTATCTAGGCATGATTTACTCAGTAAAGACGTGCTCATTTTTGCTTTCCACCGCCCTCTGCTGTGAGTCTGTATCTGAGTTAAGCAGCACCAGCGAATGAAACATTCAACCTCACCTAACGTTAGCTAGAGTTAGCTGATAACCGTTAGCACACACAGCTAACACAAGTTAGCACATTAGCTTCCTACCTCGAAGGAAGCCTCCAGTTCATCTACCAGGGTGTTGCTTCCCGGGGGCCTGGTAGCTGTAACGGGGAAGCTCGGCTGACCCGGTCCACCGGGACCCCCGACTGGATGCGCACCAGACGGCTGCTGACCGGAGAACATCCCACTCATGGACGACGCCATCTTGATCTGAGCGTTGTCTGTCTACCCGGTCCGCACATGCGCACTCAGACGGAAGCTCTTACTGGCCAAAAGTTTGAAGACAACCCTGTTCACATGTTTTTGTTGGTTTTGGAGAGTTTTTCGTGGTTTGGCTAATTTTGGTTAAAAGTTATCTTGATACAACACCACAAAATTTATATTTTTAGGGATGATTTTCTATATTGTATATTTCTAATATTGGATACTTTAAGCTTCCACAAAACCTTAATATGCAGCAGTATAAAACAGAAAAAAAAACAAACAAAAAAAACACTATTTGGTTGAACTCCTCATAACTCATGCTGGGGCGCAAGTAGACTTTGTTTTAAGGGGTCACAAACCAAAAAGGTTTGGAACAACTGTTTTAGATACTAGTGTGCTTCCAACTTTGTGGCAACAGTTTGGGGAAGGCCTTCCCCGTTTTCCACATGACTATACCTCAAACAATGAGTTGGGTGTGGAAGATTTTAAGCCAGGCCTTAATCGCCCAACCTTACTAATGCTCCTTTGGATGAATGAAAGCAAATCCCTGCAGCCAGGTACCAAAATCTGATTCTAAAATCTTCTCTGCTGTCATAGCAACGCATTAATGCTCATGGTTTTGGAAGAAGGTGCTTAACGATCACGTGTGTGTCCTGTTTGGGTCAACATCCATGTTGTGTTGACAACAGAGTCATATGGATAACAAATGTGTCACACACATAATTAAAATCTTACAGTTTATTTATACATCATATAAATTATGTGAACTGTGTAGTTACAGAGCTTCAGGTTTTTTACAGTACAGGGAGACATTGAACCTGTATTACACTGTGACAAAAATCTCATCAAAACATTGATGCTGTATGTGAACATCAAATTTGTTTTCACAATACACCTATGAATCACAGCCAAGATTTTCAGAGCTCTTCCATGGAAATTATACTGTTTAACTGTGCATAGACTTCTAAACTTTAGGCTCATTCTTTAGACCTGTGTTGAGAGATCACCGTTCAATCTCGCCAGAGAAAAAGCTCACAGTCAGAGAGTTTTGTGTCCAATCTCATAAATGTGTCTCTCTCTCAGCCACACTGGGCCAGTCCGGCAGCAAACTCCACCAGAGTACGTGTTGGTCTTCCAGACATGCCTTTTCTCAGGTAGGGAATTTCATCTTTGTTACTCATCACACCAGCAATGTCCAGATGGGCCCAATGAGGAGCTGTGACAAACTCTCTCAGGAATGCAGCTGCTGTGCATGCACCGCCAGAACTAGAAAGATAATCAAAAGACATAACAGTCAGATTCAGGTAAACAAAGACACGAGTATACCCCTGTGCCCAGATCTTTAAATGTGGCTTAACCAATTCAGGCTAAAATAATCTTGTTTATTCTCACCCAGCTAATTTGGCTCATTAGAAAGCAGTTTGAGGATTCATTTGTTAATCCTGCATGAAGATATTCAGAGTAACGCTACACTCTTATTGAAATAAAGGCTAAATAAGTAGACAGTTGAAACCATGATAAGCATTCATATGATTGGCTGAGTGCTGATCATGTGACTGCATCATGCACTGGGGCAATAAATTGATGAAACTTCACACATCTTTCTTTGTTACAGGTATAATTTTGTTCTACATTGTGCTACACACCGTTTCCACACTTTCATCACTATTACATTAGAGATTGTACACACACAATGGTTAGATTCAGTGATGTTGATTGCATGATAAGTTGACGTGGATTAAAAGATACTAAAAAGGTATAATCATAAAACTACTCTTGAAATTAAACCTTAACAAGACCTCTTAGAAAGTAGCCTTAATTTCTTCCCTTATTAATGTCAAATTAAAAGCCTTATGTTCTGGCTTCATTCATCTTTTAACAGTTAGAATCTTTTAGTTAACTTTATGTCTTTTTTGTCACAGTATCTTAACCTATATTCGGGTTTGTTCTTTTTTTAGTGTACAAAACTTTATTTTGTTTAACATTTCTTCATGTACAAGTATAAATAAGAGTTTACTATGAACATTTAATTGTGATAATTACACCAACAGATCATAGTGATTTCACAATAACATGCACGTCTTGGTCATGATCCAGCTATAAGCCTGCATTGTTTGGAGTTTCATTTGAAGCATGACCGGGGCTCTTTACTAGTCTGATGTCTGAAACAGGAGCTGCATGCCCTCACCGAGTGTAGCGAGATACGTACCGGCTGTACTTGCCGATGTTGTTGAGGTCAGCCAGCTGGCTATCAGTCACCTGTCTGGTGTAGTGCTGGAACAGAGGCATCCGCCACACTCTGTCACCTGTCACAACACTAGCCTACACACACACACACACAGTCAACACAGGAGCTGAGATGTTGCGAGCGCGTTTAGTGTACAGACACAGTACCTTGTGCAGCTGCTCCCAGAGCCAGTCAGAGTTTGTAAATACTCCAGTTGCTGCTGAGCCAAGAGCTACATCCATGGCACCTTGGAGACAGAGGAAGCTACATTTAAATATTTACTGATTATATTTGCATATCTTTCATTTAATCATGCAACATTATGAGCCTAAGGTGATAACGCTCGTCTTATTGCTTGGGTACATTTCATGTTCACACTTACTTTTTACCAATAAACTAAGGAGCTGTAAACATGAACAACTCATTCACTGGACAGTTTTGGTGACGGTCATCCTGCATCACCTACTGCTGCACTGGCCGACATAGGCATATCAAATCATGCAGCACTTTCCTACACATCATGTGTTAATTTATTTTCTCACAAGGGAGCTCAAAAAAAAAAAACCTGATTAGGAGCTCTAACATTTGAGAATACAATTGCACCTTATATCTTGTACAGTAATTACAGGGTTTGAAGATACTGTGGGATCGCTACACTTTCCATTACTTTTTAATGAACAACTGCCAAATCACACATTGTTGCCTTTACAATTAATGTGCTGTAAACACAAGGAACAAGGGGACAGAGAGGTAGGTACGACAGCTTTCACCCCAAACCAAATGAGCAAAGGCACCAGAGTTTGTTTGAATCATACCAAACGAAGGCTGAACTCTCATAACATGATGTAAATGGGATATAAACATAAAACAATCAGATTGTGGTCACAGATGCCCTTGTGCAAACCAATTAATTGAAAAATCCCACCTGTTAGTGTAGCGACATTAACAATGGCTCTGGGGTTGAAGGTGTGTCCATAACACAGAGCGTCAGCAAGGACCAGTCTGCCCTCTGCATCTGTATTATCAACCTGTACACAACAACAACAACAACAACTACTACTAATAAGTACACAGATTACAAGTGCACAAACATATCAAACACACGGAACCGTTTAAAACTTTCACATTTCATCCACACACCTGGATTGTTTTTCCATTTTTGGCTGTGACAACATCCCCTGGTTTAGTAGCTTTTCCACTTGGCATGTTCTCACAAAGGGGAGCCAGACCTGATATATTAACGAGCGGAAACAGGCAGGCTAAGACATCTGTTTTCACCTAAACATTACAATAGGTTTGTGTATTATAAATTGATAATCTATTATAGAAAAATTATATTGCGGGATACATATTGTAAAAAAGCTCACCAATAATGTTGACTGGCAGTTTCAGAGCTGCTGCTGTGACAATAGACGCACACACGGTGGCAGCTCCCCCCATATCAGCTCTCATTGCATCCATAGAAGGAGACGGCTTCAAAGAAATACCACCACTACCGGCAAACATAGAGCGGGGACATAATGACATTAATGTGGGCAGTGTAACGTTTTCATAAGATGAGATGTGTTCAGAGGTTGATATGACTGACTGTGCTGAGGCAGTGAGCTGGAGTGTGTATCATTATGGTTTACCTGTCAAACGTGATGCCCTTGCCCACTAAGAGCAGTGGGGGTTGACTGCTGTCAGGAGAACCGTTGTAATGTAGCTCCAGGAAGACAGGGGGCTCCTCTGAACCTTTAGACACACTGAGAAACGCTCCCATCTGTTGCTCCTCTATCCAAGCCTGAGATCTGCATAAACACACACATTATTAAACAAATACTCTTTTCCTTCATCTGCTCTTCAGAGCATAGAAAATGGATCAATAATCACAATAAATTTGGCCAAGTTATTTATATAAATGAATTAAATTTTCTGGTTTACAGGCTACAGAGCAGAGCCGGACTGAAGATACACCCTTCACATGACAATGTTAAGTTTCCATGAGTATTCCACCTCACATCTTTCTGTCATGTTGCTTTTCTTAGGGGTATAAAAGTATATAAGAATAGAATCTGAGTTGCTTCCAGCCTGGATTGGGACAAATTCTTAAATAACTATTATTTTAATTTTCAGTTAATCTGCAGATTCTTTCAAAGTATTCTCTCTCTATAATGTAAAAAAAAGCCTTTTAACAGTCTCTTAGAGCCCAATGTAATATCTTAATATTGCTTGTTTTTTTCCTACCAAAAATCCACAACCCAGAGATATTCAGTTTACTGCGATGTAAGAAACAGAAAGGCAATAAATCTTTACAATCGAGAAGCTGGAGCTGGGGGAAGTTTGGAGTTTTAGCTTGAAAAATGACAATCTAATTTCAAAATAGTCAGTGATTAATCTTCTGTCCATTGACTAATCGATAAATCTACTAATGGTTGCACCTCTAGAATGACAGTTTCCAGCCCAATAAAAGCTCAGAGCTTTCAAAGTAATAGAAAATAGAGAATATTTTGTGATTATGTTACAGAGTAGATATTTAGTTAGGAGTATCCAGCTTAATATTTATCTAGCCACCAAGCAAACGGTCTGTCCATCACAGCAGCCCAATACCTGGGAACAGTATTGAGAAGCAGTTGCATTCATTTGCCCCACAGTGCCATGAAAACGTGTCAAGGCACACTTCTAAAATGCGACAATGTGTTTGTTCAGCTTACTTCAACTACATAATAGATAAAAGGTTGCACTGTACATTTTTTATGTCTGAATTGGAACACTGCAGTTCTTGGAAACTTAGTCGGACATGATGAATGAAG